TGCACTGGAGACAGCTGGAGCGGTATTTTGAAAGTATGCACACACCTAATACATGCATATTCACAAGCGCTATTCACGTATTATCCTCTAACCACTGACAAAACAACAATAGCCAAAGTCAGTCATGTATGGAATAATACTTGAGAATAATACCAAGGAACTTTTAGGGTTTAGTGGTTTTATGCTATGGCCGCCGACCATGGTTAGTTGAAGTTATTTCAAAACAGCCGGTGAATGAACAAAATCTTGTTCTGATCCTGTCTAGGACACACTGAGGGAGTGTCATCTGCATGCCGGTGGCTGTTCTAGCTACCTGCCCTGGGTTGGTTCAGTCTACTTGATCTGCTTTGTGGTGAGTTTATGCTGATTAACCTGGTGGTGGCTGTAATCATGGTGACTCTGGAGGAGAGCAAGACGATAAGGAAAGCACTCAAACATACAGCCATTCACTGATAAAAACAGCTGTAACGCTTTGACACATTCAAATCTCTCTCTATACATATACATATACCTGAACAAGTAATATTGAACATTCTTATGCATGAAATCCCCTGGAATATGTGTTTCCCATTACAACTGTTAAGTGTAGTCATCGAGTCATGCAGACGCTGTTTTTAAAAAGATCTTACTTGATTTTTTTTTAATTGTAATTCATTAACCCAACCTTTGAAACATCAGGCCCATTGACAAAACATAAGAGTAATATAATAATACTGAAATGGATGTCTGGTATTGAAATACCACTGTAACAGAAGAATATTTTGATATTTCAGAACAAACCTACAAACAATTATCTCCCTCTAGGAGGAGGAAGACCTGTCAGGAGCCACTGAGCAGGCCTAGCTGGGGATCCAGACACATGCAGCTCCAACTTTGTCGCTGGAATGAATTCCAGTGATTTCAGTTTTGTAGACAGTTGGTACGTTACTGTGTCAATAAGTTACGACACAACTTACAACACATTTGTTATTTTCATTTGTAATTTATTCTAAATGTATTTTCTTGCTTTCTACTTGTTTATCGTACATCCTGTCAATTTCATTTCAATCTTGTAAATTTGTAAACTGTTTTGATTTAATAAATGAAAAAAACATGATGTACACAAAAAAAATGCCACATTGACTTCTTTGCTCATTATTTAGCTGCTTTACTGTAAGTAGGTGATAAAAACTGAATGTAATACTACGGGATCCATATAGTAGGGGCTGAGGACCGTTTCTGGTTGTTGGTTTTTAATGTTGCACCACAAATTCCATGCACCTTTTTATAATTTGAATCAAACAACTTATTAAATACANCCCTGCTCTACTGGGTTGTGGAAATGTTGGAGGGCCTTTGCATGCAGTGTAGAAAGCGCATGTTGTAGTGGTGACTTTTAAATAGACTGGTGACCTGTCCAGGGTGTCCCCTGCCCTTCGCCCTAAGTCAGCTGGGATAGGCTCCAGCCCCCCGCAACCCTAGTGAGGATTAAGTGGTGTATAGACGATGGATGGATGGATGGATGGATGAATCCCCCCATGTGAAACAGACACAAACAGAGAAGTGTGTTCACCTGTAAGGCCAGGCGCTGGTATCTGTGTCTGAGCTGCTGCACGGTGTCGGACGGGCTGGCTCCCAGCACCGCGTACAGGTCCTGTTCTGCGGCTTCACACATCCCTGATCACACACTAAAAAGATCACACACACACACACACACACACACACACACACACACACACACACACACAGGAACGCGTTACACTGTGCTATGGAGCTAACACACGACTAAGTGCTAATACGGAAGATGTTAGCGCTGCTGTTGGCTTCTTTCACTCGGTCGCTGTATTTCCATTAACTCGCACAAAACACGCTCTTTTAAAGGAAGAGTGTCACTTCGTGTATGAACCGGTCTGTGTCACCTCGTCATGAGAGTTTCTTCACAGCCTTCTCCTCCGGGTCCGGGTCTGGACCGGTCGGTTCGGGCTGTGTGGAGCGGCTAACACCGGGACAAGCTCGCACACACTTCCCTCTCATTCTGTTTCCTGTCAGTCTCTGTTCTGTTGGGTTTGGCCATACCGAGGTCTGGACTTACCGTTGTAATAGTTCTCGAGTAACGCTGCCACCTGACAGACGACATAGTGTTCGACAATGTTATGAGTCCCCTGGAAACAGCCTGTACTTTTGGTCCGCGTAGCATTGTTCCGCTGGTCGGGATTTTAACGCTATAAATGCCAGTTGCTTTACAGAAGACTAGGATTATTATTTTAATAAATAAATAAATAAAAACAAAAAAGTTTAAAATATATATATATTTCCCATATAATAAGAATAATTGCTATGAGGGATTTTTTGATGATCACAGAACTGGATATAATTGAACACTTATTATTTTTTGAGCATGATACCATTAAAATATCCCCCGTGTTAACCTACCGTCCATGTAAAATGTTAAAAGTCTTTATTACTCCCATTACCCTTCTGAGGTTTTACCTTCTGACTGACCTGCTCCCTTATAATACTCTGAAAATAACAAACAAAAACAAACAACAAGATTGCTTTGAACAGGAACACGATTTATTTATTTTTTTAACTGAAGAACCTTCATCCTGAGTTTCAGAGCAATGAGTCCTGCTCGTTGCCTGCAGGATGCATAATTAGTTATGATTAGTTATGATTAGTTATGATTAGTTATGATTAGTCCCACAGCTATTTGCACCGTGGACTTTTTCTGCACACACACACACACAAATCTTTTTTGTTTCTAAAGTGTCCTTGAGTTACAGATCTTTGTGTGCATTATTTTCTGTGACAACTCTTCTCTGCAGTGTTGAAGGCCCAGTGGATAAGACCTATGCTGAAAACCATGACTAAGACACTGTCACAGGTAAACACAAACAGTTTGTGGGTGATATTTTCAGTCAGATTCATTATAAAAGCATTTGTAAATGATTTTTGCTTTGCGCACAAATACATATGTCCCTTCTGGATTTGTGTTGAGTTGATGAATCCTGGCAAATGGGAGTGTTACAGAACACAAAAATGCAAAAATGCAAAAAAAAAACCAAAAAAAACGTGAATTGATAACTGTGGTACTTTGAAATTAAGGCATGTCGTAATGATAGCCTTTCTTAAATAAAGGCTTGCAGCTCCTGTTATTTAAGATACATGAGATCATTTGACAGTTCAGTTTGACAGCATCTTCACTGTAGAGTTCATTGCAGACTTTAAGATGAATTTCGGTTCCAGGTTGGAAACATTTCTCTGCTCTTCCTCTTCTTCTTTTTCATCTACGCTGCGCTGGGAGTGGAGC